GGTAACAGACAGAAGTTTCACTGATTTAAAAAGCTGACCTACATGGCTTCTGCTGCTTCAAGTTCACGTGTTACCATAATTTCGTTGTACACACACAATAACAATAATGGGCGATTCTATTCTATTCTATTCTATTCACAGGTCTACTCCAGTAACTGGAAGAGTCAGTTCTTCTAATAAACAGCAAATGAGATCATTTGTTTTGTCCCGGCTCTGCTTTGCATTTCTCACATTCGCAGATGAGAATCACATGATACAGGTTCACTGCCCTCGCTGACCTCTAATTCTTATCAATTATTTTGTCTCCCGCTGTGACAACCCTTTGTTATCTGTTATTTATTTAAATCAAGTATAATAACCGAATGCTTATCTTACTTACAGAAACATTTAAGTGCAGATTATCTCTCAGTTCAAGAAAAGTTAACATAACAAAGACTTAAGACAAAACAGAGCTAACAAAGCGAGCAAACATTTGAGAGAGGATGCCTCGAGGAACAGCTCAGCACACAAAAATGATGTACAATACATTACAAGGAAGTCTACATGAAAGAAAGCAATGAGGAAGCTCCCAAACAGGAAGCAGCGAGGTGAGCCAGGGTGGTTTGTTTGATTGGAAATTTGCAGAACGAAAAACTGTTTATTTCAATAAACTTAACAACATGTCGACATGTCTTTATGCTGCAGTTGGAGTCCAGCTGTATGCTGATCTACTTAGGTGGCCCACACTGACATATCTCAACAGCTACTGAATTAATTGCAATAACATTTTCTGCAAGCATTTGTTATCCTAAGAGGTTGCAGTCCCTACTCGACCAGGAAGTTCACCTAGTTGATCAGGTGACTGTGTGTCACCTGTGTTCAGTTCTGATCCAGGACCCTTTGATGTGTGTCTTTCCTGTCTAAAAAAATATTTACTATCATATCAAATAAGGGCAAAAATGCTCAGAAAAGTATGTTAAAGAATTCAAAATGGTTGGCGTTTTTAGCATTAACATAAGGCACTGTACAGCCTTAGAGATCTGCTGGTATGGCTGCAAGAATTTCACGAGGACATAGACAGTATGTAAACGATTAACTTGACACTCTCTAATAGTTAGCATGAATTTTTAAAATATTATAATATATTATGATATATAATGTAGCATCATGCTATTAGGAATAATCTCGATGATGAAGCAGGGTATGGTTTAGGGTGTGTCTGCTTTGTGAGTGACCACTCCTCATTCGTGGTGTTTGGTCTAAAAAGAAACAAGAGGGCAACAAACTCACAAGCTTTCCATCTGTGATCCATGTCTTTCCCTCCAAAAACAGACACTACAGAACTACAGAGTATCTTGTCCCACAGTTGGAGACATCATCCAGGAGAGGCTATTGCAAAAAGTACATAGATGATTCACAGATGCAGCAATGATTTTATTCCCAGTGAAATCGCCCCAACTCGCAGTTCGTAATGACTCATAACAATGTGAGTTGATTCTCAAAGGGACCCCGGCAGAACTGGCTCTGCATAAGCACCACATCTGTGGAAAAGAGGTAGAAGAGACTTGTCACTGAAACTTTATTTATGTCAGACAGCTGAGGGAGTCAAGTGAGACCTGACCTCTTGTATTTTATTGTTCATGACCGAGAGCGCCTCTCAATCTCATACCACTCCTTTCAATGTATTGTGTGTGTGTGTGTGCGTGTGCATGTGTGCAGTGTCACCTGAAGGGTATTGAATTTATTACCATCGCAGTGGATGGAGGTATTTTTAATCACCATATCTATACTTTTATTAAAACTACTGTTGGGTTAAGTGAGGTCATTGCAGAAAGACATAAACAGATTTGAGGTGGGGTTAATGAATAATGGATGTACCAGATAATAAAAACAGATTGATAAAGATGGAACAGAGACACTGAAAGCTTTTTCCAGAAAACCCCAAAAAGACAAACCAGGTCGAGGAATAGAGAAATCTTTTTAAAAACTTTTTCAGACAGTCGAGTATGACCGAGAGCGCCTCTCCTGCAGTTTGAAATCAAACACCTGCACACTGTCATGACTCACTAGCTCTTAATCTCTAAAACAATGTGAGAAATGTGACTTTATCAGACCTTTCAGTAACATCCAGCAACTTTGACATAATCTTTATCCCACTGATTTGTAATGGAAGTGAGAGTACTTTAGAGCAAAGAGAGCTTAAGTTAAGCAAAAATAGATATTAATCAGCAGACACGTTGTTAAAGGATAAGAAAGGAAAACTTTGATGTGATAAGTGCTCAAACAGAAGCAGACACGAGGAGAAAGAAGGTTCGCAATTAAGTGTAATAACAGCTTTCCTTCTTGAAAACACCTCTGAAATCTAAACTAGCCCTGAAGATGAACTAAAGCAGGGGCTGTTATTGAGGGTTAAAGATTTGCACAAATAGCTGCAGTGTTTGACTATGTTCATAGATAGTCACAGTTATTCTCCCTCATGCTTGCAATTGATTTAATTCAATTATGTTACGTATTAAGAAGCTGGTAAGGTATAAAGAACATCAATAAAAGCTCAAATTTGGGTTGTTTTTGTTTGTTTGTTTGTTTTTAATTTATCATAGGTGCACTGTGATACAAGATGCTAACAATTAACAGGACAACCTCCCTAAAACTCATCTCACTTTGTGTTATCCTTTTCTATGAGAGGAACAAAGACTCATGATCAGGCAAGCGCCTCAAAAATGCGCCTCTCTCTGCACAGTGGCACGATTCAGTGTGTTATCTACTAACACACCTTTTCTTTCTTTCCTGTTCTTTTCTCACCATCTGTTGCTCATATTCCAAGAGAAACATGAATTTCTCTCACACAGCGCAACAGGAAACATCTGCTGCGGTGAGAAATGTGGCCGCGCAGGATA